AACCTCATTCTGTTGGAATCAGCCCATGTGATGGCAACAAACAGGAGAGTTTGGGGGAATTGCAGATCGATAGGTTAAATTACATCTGCCCAGTGTCTCTTGAAAGGTGTTGGTCCTCTCAGGGTGTTTAGCTGGATATTTGATGATTAGTGAATCCTCAACTGTGGTGTTTGTCTTCCAAGAAACAAAGTGATCTGAGCTTTCTGAGCCTGTTTGCTCTCCAGGCAAGGAGACCTCCAGAAAATGAGCTTCCTCAGAAGGTATTCAATGATTTACATCCTGATTAGGGTGAAAACCTTCTTAAACTGCCTATGAAGTACCTTATGTTGGCACATCTGAGGCCAGACTGATAATACAAACATCTGCAAGATCTCAACAAAAGCTGTCTTAGTTTTGGAGATGGAAGCTTCAGGTGAGCTACTCCTTGCTCTCCAGGCAAGGAGACCCCCTGAGAATGAGTTTCCTCAGAAGGTTTTCCATGTTTTACATTCCTGAGCAGGTGAAAATCTTCTTAAACTGCCTATGAAGTATGTTAGTTTGGCACAGCTAAGTCCAGATTGAAAATATAAACCAGTAACATCTCCAAGACCTCAGCAAAAGCTCAGTCTTAGTTTGGGAGATAGGAGGTTCAGGTGAGCTTCTCCATGCTCTCCAGGCAAGAAGACCCCCAGAAAATGAGCTTCCTCAGAAGGTTTTCCATGTTTTATGCTCCTAATATAGGTGAAAACATTCTCAAACTGCCTATGAAATACTTACTTTGGCAACTCTGAGTCCAGATTACAAATATAAACATCTGCAAGGCCTCAACAAAAGCTCAATCTTAGTTTTGGAGATAGAAGGTTCAAGTGAGCTACTTAATATAGTCAAGATTAAACCAAACTGATAGCACAGCACCTTTAGTCTTCAGGCAGCACTTAGGCCTGGATCAGAATCATGCAGTTGTTTCCTGTTTCCATAAGCTATTGAAGCAGTCAGGAATTCCTGTGTCTCTGATCTTGGGGAGATTGCAGCTTGCAGAACCCAGTTCTGCAGCATGTTCTATCCTTTGGAGTCTATCAACCCCTCCCCAGGAGTTTTTTCAGAGAACTTGCTGCCCATCACCACCAAACAGTCACTTTTTTTGACCTGTTTCTTCCAGTTCCCTCTCCCAAATTGTGAAGCCAGGCCTTGGTTTTCCTTCTTTTTTGTTTATCCTCACACACCTTGGCACTCCAGACTGACTGACAGACCTATTTCAAACATGTTCTGCCTGGTGAATCTTCTCTAAGAAGTGGGAAGGCAGATTTGAATGTTTCCATGCTATGTCTGGGGGGAAGAAGACAACATAAGGTGTCACCTTGTGTCCTTCTCCTCCCCAGTGCTGGGGTCAGGGTGTGTGGTGTGAGCAAATGAGAAGAGCCTGATGGGGAAAGAATGAGACTGTGGTGAGAGCAGAAAACTGCTTAGTGGTTTCAAGCCATATATTAATGCCAACAAAACTACAGTATAAAATGCAGCAGAACCTGCTGCATGGTCCTACCAGGGTGGTTCTGCCAGGGGCTGTGGAGGGAAGGCCACAAGACCTTCAGAGGGTGAGGAGCAGAAATGTTTTCAGAGTAAATAGACCTCAAGATTGTGAAGCCAAGATGTTCCTTCATGTCAGAAGGGTGAGCTGCCTTGGGAGAAGAAAGGCCGTGTGGGGAAAAACTCTCCTGCTCTGGTTTTCAGTCCTTCTCCATCTTCCTTGTTAATTAAAGGGGGAAAAAAAGAAAGGAAAAAGTAGGGGGAAACATAAAGAGAACATGTTTAGTATCAATTATAGGAGAATAGCCCTGCACTGTATTAAGAGTATGAGTGTTTGTAGAAAGGGCTGGTTTAATCTAAGGTGTCACTGATCCAGTGAGGAGGAACAAGAACAGATCAAAAATTCCTCACAGCCAAACCTTTGCCCAAGAAGGAGCAGAGGAAGGAGCAGCCTGGACTCTGTCTGTCTGTCTGTCTGCTTCTCTCTATCCTCATCTGTGTCTCTGGCTTTCTCTCTTTTCCTCCTTCATTGAAACCCTTAATAGGAAACACATTTCCCTTTCTGTGGTGTTCCCACCAGAAACCTCAGACTGTCGGGCAAAGGTGAGAACTCTGAGCAATTAAACTGGGGGAGGCGCCGGGTCCTTGCCAGTGGCTTGGGCTGCATTTTTCAGCTTAGAGTAGCTATAGGTTGATCACAGCAGCTCGCTCAGGGCTATTCATCACCCCACCCCCTCCTCCCCAGCCACTCGGGGCATTTGCAGCCTATTTAGTCATAGAAAGCTGTGTTGCTGAATTCCCCAGCGCTTCCCTGTCTGGCAGGGACAAGCCGGGCTGGACCTTGCACTCAGGATTGCTTTAAATAACCTGCAAAGGAGAGAGGGGTGGGCAGGAGTTTCCCCAAGATATTCAAGAAAGAAATGCCAAAGCTAGCTAGAAACCAGCTGAGGAAAACACAAGTTAAGCGGACAAAGCTGTTTCCATTCCTCCTCCAGCAGCAAAACAACCAATCACTCCAAATGTTTAAGCCAATCACTTTGGCACTGTGCAGCTTTCACAGTCAAGGTGCTCTTGGGATCCCTTTGAACTCTTTACCTCCTGGTTAACCATGTTATCCATCCTGGGCTTTGAAAACATCCCCTGTTTTGCAGCATCTGGTAGCATCCATCCTCCTCTCCCCATGAGCTTTGTTTTCCAACACCTTCTTCCTCTGGCTTGTGCACGACTTTGGCTTTGTTTGCACTTGGGAAAGGAAAGAAATCCATAGGAACAGAGAGCCAACACCATCCAGCACCTGCAATGGCTCTTACTTCTGGCAGCTAATCCTCAGCTCTCACAGGAAAACGAGACACACTGTGAATACTACTGAGGGGCAAGTGAGGTCAGTGCTCTTTGGGATCATGTGGATTAGAGGAATGTGGAGGCTGCATGGCTTAGTCACAAGTAACTAATCAGTTAGTACTATAGTACCTGCAGAAGAGGTATTCCTAGCCCTGCCAAAGGGTCTGGGAATGTTGAGGGGCAGCACAGCATGTGTGGAATCTGTACTGCTGTGTGTGTGCTGCTTAGGGCCAAGCACCTTCCATGGGACAGAATGTCACTGGACAGAGGGTTGGGTAGATCTGAAGAGCAGAAAGGGTCTGTAAAAACTCTTTTCATGGTAGGATTGGTGCCTGCTCTAGCTCACACCACCAGTCCCTACAAAGTTCCTACATCTCCCGTGCTAGGGATGTCACTGCCTCATGTAGCAGGAACCTTTGCAAAGAGCTGTAGGAAAGGTGAGACTTGGAGATTATGTAAACACATACAGCTAGACACCCGTGAAATGTGTATTACATGGTGGCTTTGGAGCTCCCAGGGGCTCTTCCTCCCTTTCCTGAAGAGTTTCCAGGAGAACCAAATGCTTAGAAAGGAACATTTCCACCACAGACTGTGCAAAACAGTCTCTTCCCATGGGTTCTTTTTTGTGCTGCTCTTGAATAGTTGTGTGTCAAGTGGGGCTGGATGGAAAGGCCACTCTGAACCAAAAAAGCTGCTTTCCAGTTCCCCAAAGCATGGGAGATGCTGGAATACCAGTGAGATTAGTGCTACTGCTGCTGGCCCCAACCCAAGCATGTGACACTCTAAAAATGGTCAGGTCCTGACACTGCAATTCATGGAACTTCTACTGTGTGTTCCTCAAACAGGACATTTCTCTGTCACAGCCAGAGAGAGAAAAGCTTCTTCCTTCTCTTCTAACACAATCTGTGCCATAGGAATTTTTGGGATAGATAATGTACTGTACAAACTCACCCTTTTAGATAACTCTCAACAAGAACCATCAAGGTGCTCAGAGAAGGAGACGAGTGGAGAAGCAGCAGCACATGTGTGATGTGCAGCTACCAAGCCTTTAGAAGGATTTCATAGGCAATCTATGCCTAACTGGCTGAAAAATGAGGTCTATAGATCCCAGTAACAGTATTTCCTACCTGCCTGCATTGTTCCCTGTGGCAGAGCACATTCAAATGGCAATAACTCCTTTTCTTTCCATCACAGATAGCTCACTGCTGGTCTACAATACTCCATCCCACACAGAAGCTTCCTCACGTCTCGCCACCAAAGAAGGTCAGTGTTTTGCTTAGAAATGTCCTTCCTGTGCTCTCCTGATGGTTTTGATTGGGTTCAAACTAGACCTTTTATATAATATCCTTGGCATGGCATTATGCTGCTCTGCTCTGCCTGCACAGCATGGTTGAGAATGAATCATTTACACTCTGCAGCCTCAGCTAGGCTGGAAATCACATCTCTGCTTGTCCAGCCAACACTGGGGCATAAAATGTCTCTCTGTCATTGTCACACTTGTGTATCACTGGGCTGATGAACTGATGGTGTATTTTCTGTTCTGGATGTGAAACAGTTTGAAATCTCAGATACACAGCAAGGATTGAGATACTGTTTCTCTCCAAGTGAGTTCATAGGGCACAGACTCAAGCTCTGCCAGGGGAGGTTTAGATTGGATATTAGGAAGAGATTTTTTACAGAGAGAGTGCTCAGGCATTGGAATGTGCTGCAAGGGGAGGTGGTGGATTCCCCATCCCTGGAGGTTTTCAAGCTGAGACTGGATGTGGCACTTAGTGCCATGGTCTAGTAACCACGGTAGGGTTGGACTTGATGATCTTGGAGGTCTTTTCCAACCTAGTTGTTTCTATGATTCTATAGCTGAAAGGCTAAAATCTTCACAATAAATTCCATTTACTGACCAAAGGCCACCCAGGTATTCCAAACCATTCCATGAAGCTCTCAGCTGGTTTCAACCAGAAAGGAAGAGAAACTATATCTTTTTGACACTTCTATTTTGGAACATTTTGATTTTCTTTTTCAAATAACCCCAATTTTTTTCCATTAGAAATTCTGATCATGTAGCTACAGCTTAGAAACCTCAGACTTTGAAAAAATAATACACTTGAGGCTCCTTCAGCCTTTTGAGTTGTGTATCCTTCAGTCAGGTGCTTCCTTTGCAGCTCCAGTTTTAATCCTGTTTCTTATTTTTAATGAAAAACTGGATTCTCAGGCATGATAAAGTTATGAGAGTTTGTGTGATGGATGTGAGCGTAGAATCATGGAATGGTTTGGGTTGGAAGAGACCTTAAAGACCATCTAGTTCTAACCCCCTGCCATGGGCAAGGACACAGGTGATGATGTACATCTGTTGTCTACCTAAGACAATAAGTCTCAGTTGAATTGATAGATGCCAAATAGGTTGATAAAGAGGAAAATTCTGTTCCTGTGCTCTCTAACTCAGTGTGTAGGACTAGGAGCCTTGAGTTTGGTCTTCACTTCCCCTTGCACAACTGCAGGAACATTGGGTTTGTTCACTGCACTGTGTTCAGCTCCTCCATTGGAAAAGCTCCTGGAGAAGTGTGAAATCTCCTGTGTGCCATGTGAGATAACCCACCTAGGACCTCTCTGTTCCTGTGCCCAGTTTCCTCCCCTGATACATAAACACCTCCCTGCTTTGCAGGGGACTGTGGCTACACGGATTAGCCCCAGTTTGCATTTCAAAGAACAGTGGGGAAAGGCAGAAAGGCTTTTATGGAAGCAGCTGGAGAGACAAAACCTCCCTTTGCACTGAGAGGCTGCAGCAAACAGATCCCACATTTAACAAGCTCCTGCCTGGAGTGTCTGGCTGCCTCCTTGACTAGCTGCTCTCAGAGCCAGCCCTTTCTGCTTGCACCATGCTGCATCTCATCTCCAACATCTGTCTTGAGCCCTGGACACGCGAGCACTGCTGGTTTTTCCAGCAGCTGCTTTTGTCCAGCATACAAATAGCCACTTGAGCTGTGTGTTCCCTGGCACACTGTTCTCTCTTCTGACACAGGCACTGCTTGAAAAACATGGAGCATTGCAGAGACAAACCCTTCAGGCTTTGCTGTGACTGACTCTTACAGTCATCTAGTTAATCATCTGGTCATCATGGGCCCCTCAGCTCAGGAGGGACATTGAGGTGCTGGAGCAGATCCAGAGAAGAGCAATGAGGTTGGTGAAGGGACTGGAGCACAAGTGGCATGAGGAGAGGCTGAGGGAGCTGGGGGGGTTCAGCCTGGAGAAGAGGAGGCTCAGGGGAGACCTTATCACCCTCTACAACTCCCTGACAGGAGGTTGGAGTCAGGTGGGGGTTGGTCTCTTCTCCCAGGCAACCAGCAGCAGGACAAGAGGGCACAGACTCAAGCTCTGCCAGGGGAGGGTTAGGCTGGATATTAGGAAGAGATTTTTTACAGAGAGAGTGCTCAGGCATTGGAATGTGCTGCCCAGGGAGGTGGTGGATTCCCCATCCCTGGAGGTTTTCAAGCTGAGACTGGATGTGGCACTTAGTGCCATGGTCTAGTGACCACAGTAGGGTTGGACTTGATGGTCTTGGAGGTTTTTTCCAACCCAGTTGTTTCTATGATTCTATGGTTCTAACTTTACTAAGGGCTAAGCTTGTTCCTGTGTGAATAAAACAGAGAAACACACGTGTCCCTCCACAATTTCCCCATAAACACACACACACACACACACACACACACACACACACACACACACATCCAAACCTCTGCTCTTTCTGCCTTGGGCCAGGTGTTTGCTAAAAATAAAGGAAAGAAAACTGATAATTTTTTTTTTTATTAAAGAGAAATGTTCTGTTTAAACTTGAACTCCTCTGGGTTTTTAAACCCTTTATCTCTGTGACTTGGGCCTGGAGTCACTCAGGCTGAAAGAAATTTGAGGGGAAATGTGTTCCTCCACCTCGATTTTTACTGCCCTCCTGTGTGTCTCTTTAGTGCCTCTGGCAGAGGGTTGGGTTGGTTGCTGTCAGTGTGGTGTTCTCAGCTTCACATGGTACTTTCATCATGTGTCAATAAAGGACTGAGCACACCCATGGGACACTCCAATAAAAATGAAGAGCTTCATAGAAATGATGAAATCCTATCTAGTCTTCTCCCATTTCTTCCTATAGTGCATAAATTTCCTCATCGTTCCTTCAATGGGGAATGTTGCTGTAGGATAAACCAACTCATTTCAACCTACTCTAACTGATTCATGTTCCAAATATTCTTGGTGAGATTAGATGTCAGGATAAGAGGCAGGAGAACATGTCAGGCTGACAGATGAGGATTTGGGGAGCAGAGTGAAGTGTCTCAGTCAATATCACAGAAGAAACTCATGATGCACATAAAAATGGACTTGGAATTCCTCAGCTTTGGCCTAGTCCATTAGGCAACATGATTTTCCTTGCTTCATTTTAAGCCTTTAAATGGGCTCAAATCAAGATGATGATATTCTATTGGGAAAGGAACTTCAGGTTAAAAAAATCAAGATTTTTTTCTAAGTTCTCAAAAGATGAAACATTTTTCTTATCAGTACATCTTGAATCTACTAATCCTGTAAATATCTCTCCTCTCTCTGTCTGTGAATAAAAACAGACACATTTTTCTAACCACCTTCCCTTGAGGATTCAAAAGCAGGTGATGAAACAGTCCCAAACATCTCAGAGAGAGAAAAAACCCAAACATTTTCTTCACTCCTCCTGTAATTTTTCTTGCACACTCTCTAAGATCACATCACTAATGCAAATAACCTGCAGATGCCAGGGAGAGCCACATCTCTTTACATACACTCACACTCTGCTTTGCACAACATATTCCATCCACACACTCTAAAAAAAGAACTTCCATGGCAAAAAAAAAAAAATATAAAAAAGCTCCAGCTGCAACACAGACAGATGCAGATGTTCCAGATGCATCATATGGCTCTGCTCCCTCCCAGAGCTGTTCCAGACAGAGCAGGGATGGTGTCACAGGAGCACAGGGCACTGCTTGGCCCATGTCCCACGCTGGCAGGGGCAGTGCTGCTGTCACAGGACTGGGTTTCATGCCCTGGCTCTGCAGACAGAACTGCCTTGGCTGGTTGCAGCTGCAGACTTTACTCCCTTTTTCCCTTCTATTTTCTGCCCTCTCACTTCTCACTGCAGTGCCAGCTCTGCCAACAGGACCTGCAGCACTGCCTTGGGGCACTTAAACTGCTTTCCTGGCAGGTACTGCAGACTGACACAGCTGGGGCACAAAACATCTCAGGTTTGTGGGGCACAGAGCATCTCAGCCAGGTAGAACCCTTGTAGTGCTCAAAGGACTCTTATTGCCTGCTCTTCTCTTCTATTTGGGCAGTTAAACTGCTTTCTTAGCAGGTACTGCAAACTTACAAAGCTGGGGCACAAAGGAGCTCAGGTTTGTGGGGCTTAAAGCATCTCAGGTTTGTGGGGGACAAAGCATCTCAGGTTTGTGGGGTACAAAGTATCTCAGCCAGATAGAACCCTTGTAGTGCTCAAGGGATTCTTATTGCCTGAGCATCACTTAGGACAATTAAACTGCTTTCCTAGCAGACACTGCAGACTTACACAGTTGGGGCACAAAGCATCTCATGTTTGTGGGGCTGAAAGCATCTCAGGTTTGTGGAGGTCAAAGCATCTCAGGCTTGTGGAGCTCAAAGCATCTCAGGTTTGTGGGGCTCAAAGCATCTCAGGTTTGTGGAGCTCAAAGCATCTCATGTTTGCGGGGCTGAAAGCATCTCAGGTTTGTGGAGGTCAAAGCATCTCAGGCTTGTGGAGCTCAAAGCATCTCAGGTTTGTGGGGCTCAAAGCATCTCAGGTTTGTGGAGCTCAAAGCATCTCAGGTTTGTGGGGCTCAAAGCATCTCAGGTTTGTGGAGCTCAAAGCATCTCAGGTTTGTGGGGCTCAAAGCATCTCAGGTTTGTGGAGCTCAAAGCATCTCAGGTTTGTGGGGCTCAAAGCATCTCAGGTTTGTGGGGCTCAAAGCATCTCAGGTTTGCTCTCAGATCAGCCAGGTAGAAACCTTGTTGTGCTCAAAGGATTCTTATTGCCTGAGCTTCTTCTCTTAGCCTCATAAACACTCCGAAGGAAAGGACTTAGCGTCATTGGGACAAATTGTCTTCAGCTGCCTTTGAGAAAGAAATTGCTCTAATGAAAATCACCAGGATTTTTTTGGCTAGAGAGCAATTTTCTGGCAAATGAAATGAGGTTTCTCTCAGTGCTGAATGGAAAGATTTGTGTCCCACTCCCAGCACCTCACTGC